GTCCCGATCTGTAGCATCTGCCAGTTTCCATGGTGTCAATACAGCCACCATGGCCAATTTCAAGGTACCAACATGCCACTGACCAGAGTTTAGAAGAGGAGTGCAGTAGCACACCATTATTTAGTATTTCCCCAATACAGAGATAAGGGGCAGAAATCACCTCAAGAGCATAAAATATGATTTAATAAATGAGGAAGCAATGAGTTTTATTTTATTTATTTATTTTTAAAAAGATTTTATTTATTTATTCATGAGAGACACAGAAAGAGAGAGAGGGAGAGACACACAGGCAGAGGGAGAAGTAGGCTCCATGCAGGGAGCCCAATGTGGGACTCGATCCCAGAACTCCAGGATCAGGCCCTGGGCTGAAGGCAGGCGCTAAACTGCTGAGCCACCCAGGCGTCCCAACAATGAGTTTTAAGGATTGTTTTTAATATAACATTTCAATATCAGTTTATATAATTTAATTTTAATATTGATATTAAAATAATATAATTGTGTAGCTCCCTTCAAAACCAGCTCACAGGGATCCCTGGGTGGCGCAGTGGTTTAGCGCCTGCCTTTGGCCCAGGGCGCGATCCTGGAGATCTGGGATTGAATCCCACGTCGGGCTTCCGGTGCATGGAGCCTGCTTCTCCCTCTGCCTATGTCTCTGCCTCTGTCTCTCTCTCTGTGTGACTATCATAAATAAATAAAAATTAAAAAAAAAAAAGCTCACAAATTTCCTGGGCTGTCATGAACCAGTAGGCACCAAGCTCCAGTACCTCCCTGGCTCTCAGAGACTTTGCACACAAAACAAGAGCATTTTGTAACCAGGATAGTGTTATATGCAGGCTGCTGTCAACAGTGTAGTAATAACAGTGGCAGCCAACGGTTATTGAGCACCTCTTAAGCGAGCAGGCTCTTGTCTAAGTGCTGTATGGATGTTTACCCATTTAATACATGCAACCACCCTGTGAGGGAAGTTCTGCGGTCATACCCATTTTATAGAAAGAAGAGGTTACTTGAGGGCTCCTAGGGCTTCATTGTGTCTCATCAGAACCCCTTACCGTACTAATATTGCCATTTTGCAGATGAGGGGCCAAGGCTCAGAGAGGTGAGTCACTTACCAAGAGCCACACAGCTAGTGCAGGGCAGAGCGGATTCAAACCTGTGTCTGTCAGATGCCTGAGAGGATCCTCTTCAGCACTGGTTTCCCAAATATGGCCCAGTGTGCTTCTGACTTCCTTGGAGAGCTTGCTTTACAAAAGCAATACTGGAGCCTCACTCCTGGTGAGTTGATTTTGTCAGTTTGGTATTTTTTAAAAGATTATTTATTTATTTATGTATTTGAGAGAGAGAGAGAGAACATACAAGTGAGGATAGGAGCAGAGGGAGAAGCAGACTCCCTGCTGACCATGAAGCCCAATGGAGGGCTCAATCCCAGGACACTTAGACCATGACCTGAGCCAAAGGCAGACTCTTAACTGACTGAGCCACCCAGGTGCCCCCAGTTTGGCATTTTTAACAGTCCCCAGGGGATTCCAGTGGGCAACTAGCTCAGAAACGAACCCCTAAAGCATAGCTTGGGGACTCAGAATGTCTTGACTCAGGCCCAGGTTCCTCACTGGTTAGGTGGGGGCACCAGCCCATCCACAGCTTAGTGGCTCTGAGGATCTAATGAGGTGGAAAGTGGGGAAAGCCCACCACAAGTGCTAGTTTAACACAGACCATAGAGCCAACGTTGCTGATTGGCCCAAGGCTGAAAGCCAGGGGTCCTGGATGTCCTTAAAAGTGAATTTTTATTTCTCTCCATGCCACAGGAGCCTAGAGACGAGTAGGTAGGTAGAGTAGGTTTTCCCTTCTGCTTTACCATACAGGACAATGGGAGGTCAGAACCATGGAGCAGCCTTCCCCGGTGGAGGAGGCCATGAGTGAGTGGCCAGTAGCTGTGGTTTAACAAATACAAATGCACCGAGTTAGGGCCCTCCCCTAAGCCACAGCTGTGGGTTTTCTGGGAAAAACATGGAGCTGGGGCAGGAAGCTGCAGAGGCATCAGAGTCGAGATGGACACCCCCACTTTGCCAGCAGGCAAGGGCAACCCCAGCAGGCACCCTTGCATCAATTAGAGGAGACAGGGGAGAGAGGAGAGCACACAGGATTTGGAGTCAGCCAGAGCTTGAACCTTATCTGCCCTACTTATTATTGAGACACCCTGGGCAAGTGCTTAACTTCTCTGAGCCTCAGTTTCTTCATCTGTAAAATGGGGGTGCTGATGGTGCCTGCCTCAGAGAATGAGAATTACATGAATATGGATGCTTTGTAAACTCAATGCTATAGGTTGTGCTATACTGAATCCCCAGGGTGAGTGATTTCAGAAACACAGAAAGAGCATGAGAAGTAGCCTGCTCTTTGCAAGTGTGCAATCTGGTTAGGGAGGCAGAACTAACACTCAGGGCTCTCGGTGGTGGTTGAGGCTGTGGGGTGAGGCTGCTCACAAGTGTGGAGCTGGGAGAAGGAAGGAGAACTGGACTGGGTGTTTAGATGATACTTCCTGGGGGAGAAAGAGTTTTGGCTGGGCCTGGAAGGATGGGTAGGAGTTCAGTAGGCAGATAATAAAGACTCTCATTCTGGGAAGGAGACACATGATAAAGGAAATAATCTCAGAGGTGATGCTGACAGCTACAGGTCACTTTATAAGCCCTGTTTGATCTTCTTGATAACCCTTGTGAGACAGGTTTGATCATCATTATTAATTTCTAGGTGAGAAACCTGCAGCTGACAGGCCAAGTGACTTGCTCAGTGTTGTTCTGGTAAATGGCAAAACTGGGATTAGAACCCAGGCTCTAAGGTGCTTAGCCATTATCTATCTTGATTCCCTGAGAGCAGAATATGCAAGAGATGCGTATGTGACTGCACTGATGGTTCATTTGTCCAGGAAACAGTTCCTGAGCACCTGGGAATTGCAATGCCATCCACCCGTGGGTGCTAGGGGTGGAAATGAGCAGCAGGGCCCCTGTCCTCCTCCCAGAGCTTCAGGAGAATGGGGAGAGGACACATATGGAATGAGAGTGCAGTTAATGCTCTGGCAGAAGCATGTCGAGGTACCATGCGGGCCCTGGGGGAAACACCTAGCTGCATATGTTGGAGGGGAGGGGGTCACAGAACATGTTCCAGCATGAATGTGTTGGAGCTGCGGGGGGTGGTGGAGAAGAAGCTTATGAGGAAGGCCATTCCAGCGGAGTTAACTGCAGGTTGGGGTAAGGGTGATAAGGAGGTCGGTTGGGATGTAGCAGAGGGGTGTGTGTCCAGAGGTAGCAGGGCCCTGAATGCCACATAGATGAGGACGTTGGGCATGACCACACTGGTGGTTGGGGGAGGTGGCTGCCTATGGTCTCATCTATGGTGTGCCGGGGGGAGTGTTTGCTGCAGCACCGTGGAAAGCTGCCCATAGGGGCCTGGCAGCAGGCAGCCTTGCTATCTCAGGTTGCCAGCCCTTCCTGAATAATCTGGGGGCTGTGGTCGATATTTGCAGTGAAGGTTCGTAAGAGCTTCCTTGTCCCCATAGCACAGACTGGCTGGGCCCCTGCTCTGCTGAGTGAAGCAGCCTTGCCCAGTGATAGGCTATGCGGGCCCCTGGAGAGGACACTGGGCAGAGGGTTAGCAGACGTGGGCTCCACTCCTTGCTCAGTGACCTTGGCAGTTTCTTGACCTCTTGGAGCTGCTCTTCAAAATGAAGGGACTAAATGATCTCTGAGGTCCCCTGCAGCCTCAACTCTGTGAGCACTGTAGGAGTGACATGGGGGTGAGGATGAGTGGGACAGGAGGCAGGCAAGTCAGGGAAAGGGCATGCTCTATAGTTGTGCACAGGTGATTCAGCAGGGATTCAGTAAGGTTCCCAGGGATGACTGTAGTCATTGCTACTCTCAGAGGGGAATGGACAGACATAGCCACCACTATTTGAAACCTTGCTGGGCATTGATCCTTCCATGGACCATCTCTCTGGATCTTCAGAACAACCCTATGCCATGGTAGGTGTTGTCCCATTTTACAGATGGGAAACCAAGGCTACAAGAGGTCCAATGACTTTGGCCAGGTTTTGCTGTGAGTGACAGCACTGGGATTTGACCTGCCTGCCTCTAAGCTCAAGCCTTTTGTACCTTACTATATAGCCACCCCCCCCCCAAGGCTACCTTCATCCTGCAGACGCTCTTGGACATGCTGTACTGAACTGATGGGGATCACCCACTAACATGGGTCCTGCCCAGAGGACCGGCTTCTGGTTTAGCACCAAAGCAGGTATCTCTGACCAAATCCCCTGGGACACGGTGGGGCATGTTGGCCTCTCCCGCAAGGCCTGCCTCATGGGCTGAAATGGATAGATTTGTTTAGACAGGTGAGGACAGTTTCACCTCCTGGTAGCAACTCCACAAGCCCTCTGCTGGGCAGTGGTGGCATCTATGGGAATGTGATCCCTCCTTTTAGCCATGCTTTGGAGGTGAGGTCAAGTATGTGGATAGAATTTGTCGAAGTAAATAAAGCTAGAGGAGGACAGATGGATAGACTCATGCTACCCCAGAGGGCAGCCTGGCTTGGGCCCAGCACTCTGTGGTCACAGTGGCCTATTCTTCCTTCCTGATGGGAGCCAGGAGACCTGAGCCTTTTGTGTGTCTCGCCTTGGGCCCCAGAAGGGGAGAATTTGCCCAACCAGCTTGGAAGGTTGTTATGCCATCTTGCAGTTGCAGTTGCAGAGGCTAGAGCTCGAAGGGGCTCTGGGTCTCATCCAGTATCTATTTTAGAGTTGGGGGTGCTCATGCCCAGGGAGAAGAAATGGCATGCTTCGGTTCCCATGGCCTTGTTATGGTGGAGGTGAAACTGCAATTTCCCTGTACTTGGCCTGGATCTTTTCTAGTGCCCTATGCTAGTGCCTGGGATGGGGGAAGCAAAGAAGTTGAGAAAGAGCCCTTGGGGGAACTGCTGCTTTGCTGGCCCTCAGGCTGCCCTTGGGGATCCTCCCTCAGATTTCTCCTCCTGAGCCTCGGTGCCCATCGAAAGATGAATGGATAAAGAAGCTGTGGTCTATGTATACAATGGAATATTCCTCAGCCATTAGAAACGACAAATACCCACCATTTGCTTCAACATGGATGGAACTGGAGGGTATGATGCTGAGTGAAGTAAGTCAATCAGAGAAGGACAAACATTATATGTTCTCATTCATTTGGGGAATATAAATAATAGTGAAAGGGAATATAAGGGAAGGGAGAAGAAATGTGTGGGGAATATCAGAAAGGGAGACAGAGCATAAAGGCTTCTAACTCTGGGAAATGAACTAGGGGTGGTGGAGGGGGAGGAGGGCGGGGGGTGGGGGTGAATGGGTGACGGGCACTGAGGGGGACACTTGACGGGATGAGCACTAGGTGTTATTCTGTATGTTGGTAAACTGAACACCAATAAAAATTAATTTATTAAAAAAAAAGATTTCTCCTCCTGACCTAGCCCTACAGCAGCCCTGTGGGGAGGAGTGCACAAGGCGCCCCCCTCGGGCTGGTGGAGGACCTCCACAGGGCAGAAGGGGAAGGACCACCAACTCCCAGTCCTTTCAGTTCATGTCAGCATATTTCAATGGCACGTGCAGGATGCAAGACATCATCAGGCAGGCCAGGAAACTTAGCACTGATCTGAGTTTCCCAGGGAGGCCACCACCCAGGAGAGCAGTGTCACAATACGGGAGACAGCCTGTAGCTTAGGACCACTTGCTCATAAGCATCATCGGCCCTGAGGGGGTTACACACGAGGTCAGGGGCCACTTCATTGAAAAGTGAGGTGGGAGAAGGAGGCAGGGATGCGGCATGGTCTCTGAAAGATGAAGTAGGGAAGGCATTCTAAGTAAGGGAGACAGCTGGAGCTTGGGAGCGGTGTTGTTCTGGGTGTGGGAAATAGCCACCTTGAAGGGATATGGGCAGATACAAGCAAGTGATGGGTGGTGAGGCTGGGAAGGTAGCATGGGGCCTGTTGGAGCAGAGCCTCCATGTCTCAAGTATCATGCAGGGCATTTGAGCTTTCTCTCATGGTCAGTGGGACCACAGAAGATATTTAATCAAACTGGGTGATGTGGTGAGTAGGAGCCAGACTACCCGGGAAACCCCCCTGACTCTGCCATTATGAGGTGTTGGACCTTGGGCCAATGCCCTTTGCTCTCTGAGTCTCTGTTTTCTCAGCTGTGAAGTGGGGGTGATAACAGCACCTACTATTCAGAGTGATTGCAAGGATGACCTAGAGCACGAGTGAGCTGCTTGCCTTGCTAAATGTTCAGAATATGTCAGCCCCACCTTGCTTCCTGGGTAACATCAGACTGGGTTAGTGGAGGCTGGGCTAGCCAGAAGGAAGCCCTTCTGAAAGCAAGAGGAACTGTAGATATAGGGACTGTTTTCCTGTTTTATTATATTCCGGTTCACTCCCAGTTAGGGCAGGTCTGAGCCTGAAGGTCCATTTGGTCCAAAGGTCCAGTGTGTGAGTGGTGAGGGCAGGACAAGAATCTGAGGCCTGCCCACTCAGCAGAACATTCCTGCTGTGCCAGGGTGCAAGCCTGCCCTAGGTTGCCAGGCCCAAGCAGCATCTCTACTTCTCCCTGGAGTAGATTCCCAGGATGCTTGAGCCACAGGGAAGGGAGATCATTTACTCTAGTTGTTAGGAGCAGAAGCTCTGGAGTCCAACAGATAAAAGTTGAAAGCCCTGTGTCCACAAACCAGTATTTCAATCTTGATTTCTCTTTCTGAAACAGAGGAATGATAACATCCACTGCATAAGATAGTCAGGAGGGTTCAGTGAGGTATAAGGTTTGTCACGTGCTTGGTTAGCACAGTGCAGCTAAATGGCAGCATGTGTGTGTGTGTGTGTGTGTGTGTGTGTGTGTGTGCGCGCTCACGCGCGCACGTGTAGGCCTTCTGGAGGAGATACTATTTTTACTGAAATGTGAATAGGAAATTAGCCAGCTTTGTGATAGGGGCCGTGCAGGAAGAATGTTCCAAGTGGGGGAGAAGTCACCTGCTGTGTGTGTTAGGTTCTTGGGGTGGACAAGATCTTGTGCAGACAGGCAGTACTCGGTAAGAAAACGTGGCCTGGCCTTGAGGTTTTCCTAAGCCAGTGGAGAGGCTACTGCTCCTGGACGGTGGGACACAGAGGTGAGGGGATGTGCGGCCAGGATGCTTCTCACCTCTCAGAGCAGTGCTGCCAGATCCAGCCTCCCATCTTTCTTCCTTCTTTTCTGATGTTCTCTACCCAGCTCCTACTGCCCCATAACCCTGGGAGTCACCAGGTCCGATGTGACTGCTTTTGTCCATGGAGGCTCCCATCCCCCTTCAGCATGTGCTGTGCTCTGAGCACACTGGTCATCGGGAAGCCCTGGGCCCTGACCCTGAGCTCCAGAGACAAGCTTCAGGACCAGAGAGAGGAGAGGGGAAGGTCCCAATAAGGTGACTTAATTCCAATGTGGTGGAATAGAGAGAGGAGAAGCCCCACCCTCACCCCCACTGGGAAGACGGTGCACAACGGGGAGGGCACAGCTTCCTGCATGGGGTGCCAGGATACTTGGGGTCTGTAGGCAGCCACTGGAGGGCTGGACTGGGGGTACTGCAGCGGGGCCATCTGTCAGGGTCCCATTTCCTGACCTCCCCTGTCCCTACTCTCTGCAGGGCCTAAGACTCTGCTTTGCCTTGGGAGAGGACTTTGACACATTTTCAAAATAAAGTTGAGATAAATCTCCAGAGGGGAAGAAGGATAAACAAGCATAAAAAATTGCAAAAGGAAATGTCTTATTTATTTATTTTTGAAGCCGGGGGAAGGCCTCAGCCGGCCGGCTCACTCAAGTGAAAGTTTCCAGCCACTCTGACATGAGGTCACAGAGACTTCAGGGAGCCAGGAAGTTTGGGATACGGCACCTGGAGTGTCCTCAGGCCAGATTCAGGAGCAGTTCAGCTAACTGATCCTTAGGGCTCCCCTCAGCCTACCAGCCTCTGTGCTCTGCACTACGGGGGTGGACATGCAAAGACCTCAGTCCTCCCTCTAGCTGAGGGTCTGGTAGAGGAGCGAGGACAGAGCCAGCAAGGACTGTTGGGCAAGGGAGAGTGTGACAAATGTCATAACATAATGGTTCAAATAATCACCACGGGGACTGAGGGGTAGGATTCATTTGTGGTGTCTGGGGGGTACTCAGGGAGGAAAGCTTTCAAGGACTAGCTGAGTTGAAGTAGACTTTGAAGCCCAGCTAGGATTTTATTTTTTTTATTTTTATTTTTTTTAAGATTTTATTTATTTATTCATGAGAGACACACAGAGAGAGAGAGAGAGGCAGAGACACAGGCAGAGGGAGAAGCAGGCTCCACGCAGGGAGCCCAACGTGGGACTCGATCCAGGGTCTCCAGGATCACGCCCTGAACTGAAGGCGGCGCTAAACCACTGAGCCACCAGGGCTGCCCCCAGCTAGGATTTTAACGGGCAGATAAAGCAGAAGGTTTTCTAGATAGAACAAATAATTCGAGCAAAGGTACAAGGTGAAATTCTTCAGGACTTTGAAAATAGGGATGTTTGATTTTCTTAAACATGTATTTATTTATCTTTATTTAAAACTGCTTTCTTGAGATAATAAGTCACTTACTATACAAGTCACCCATTTCAAGTGTACAGTTTACAAAGTTGTGCAGCTGACTCCACAATCAATTGTAAAAAATCTTTGTCACTCCAAACAATAAAGCCCAGTACCCATTAACAGTCACTCCCCATTCCCCCAGTCCTGAGCAACTACTAATCTACTTTCTGTTTCTCTGGATTCAATTCTTCAGGATAGTTCGTATAAATGGAATCCTATAATGCATGGTCTTTTGGGACTGATTCTGTCACTTGGCATTATATTTTCTTTCTCTTTTTTTATAAAGATTTTATTGGGGCACCTGAATGGATCAGTCGGTTAAGCATCTGCCTTTGGCTCAGGTCATGATCCTGGAGTTCCGGGATCAAGCCCCACGTCGGGCTTCCTGCCCAGCGAGGAGTCTGCTTCTCCCTCTGCCTCTACCCCAGCTTATGCTGTCTCTCTCCCCCTCCCTCTCTCTCTCTCTCAAATAAATAAATAAAATCCTTTTAAAAATATTTATTTATTTGAGAGGGAGAGAGCTTGAGCAGGGGGAGGGGCAGAAGGGGGAGAAGCAGGCTCCCTGCTGGATTGCACAATCCTGGGATCATGATCTAAGCCAAAGGCAGACGCTTAACCAACTGAGCCACCCAGGTATGTTTTCAAGGTTCATCCATGCTGAAATATCAGTATTTCATTCCTTTTTATTTTTATTTGCCTTCTTTCCTCTTAATGGCTGAATAGTATTCTACTACATGGTTATACCATATTCACCACTTGATGGAAATTTGTCTTGTTTTCACTTTGAGTCTATTATGAATATGCAGCTGTGACATTTGATGTTTTTATGTGGATGATATTTTCAGGACATTCCACTTTGAATGGAGTCTGGGTTTGTCGTGGTAGAGAGTGGGAAGGGACAGGGTGAAGCAGAGCGACATGCTCACCCACTGTGGACTATGAGCGGTTGGGTGGGAGTGAGAAGGGTAGGCTCCTGTTCTGGCCTCACTAACAGCCTGTGGAGTATGAGGCCAGGGCAGGGCTGTCCCGCCACCCACACACACCTGCACAGTTGTGTCAGATCTGGCAGCTATTTGCAGCACTGGAAGATAGCCTGGGCAGCTGGTATTTTCCCTGGAAATCAGGTGCATTTTTTCCTGGTCCTGCTGAGGCCAAAATTAGTGTAAGCTACACAGTTAGTCCAGGAGAGGGGAGTTTGTCAACAGGAAGCTGGCCAGCTAGGGGAAGGAGGTGGTCAGGAAAACGATTGTTTTTTTTTTTTTTTTAAGATTTTATTTATTTATTCATGAGAGAGAGAGAGAGAAAGGCAGAGACACAGGCAGAGGGAGAAACAGGCTCTATGCAGAGAGCCCGATGTGGGACTCGATCCCAGGACTCCAGGATCATACCCTGGGCCGAAGGCAGGCGCTAAACTGCTGAGCCACCCAGGGGTCCCCAGGAAGAAGATTGTTAATAAACCATGTGTAAACCGAAGCTAGGCTGCTAGGCTCCCACCCCTCCCATGCTCACTCAGAGGGCAGGGGTTTTGTTTACAGGAAATGCTGCCAGTTTCTCAATGGCCCCATTTAACAGATCTGGAAATAGAGGCAGTGCATTAAAGGGATCTGCCATGCAGAGACAGAAAGGGAGCTAAAGCTAAGGTCTCCCCAGTTCTGCTGTGAGCAGCAGGTTTGGAAAACATGGACCTTGCCCTCAGCGCTGTGCCTGTTTTTGAGTTCACAGGAGAAGATAGGACACAAAAACCAGAAAGAATTTTAGTCTCTTAAAAAAGAATACCAAACTCCACCCTAACCCCAAAGTGAAAACACAAAACAGGGCTTTAATTACCATCTTTTCTTCTTTTCCTTCTTTACTTACTTTCTCTTTCTGTTTTTTATAGTTGTTGCTTTTTGTTGTTGTTGTTTTGTTTTTTGTTCTCCAGCCAGAAAACATTATGTTGTTAGACAAGAATATTCCCATTCCACACATCAAGCTGATTGACTTTGGCCTGGCTCATGAAATAGAAGATGGAGTTGAATTTAAGAACATTTTTGGGACTCCAGAATTTGTTGGTAAGTTTTAGGCCTGTTTCTTTCCCACCTAAGCATCTGGGATCAAAAGATAGAGAAGTTCTGGAAACAAACCCTGTGTCTGGGGCTGTGGCCTCTGGGCCAAGATGGTACCTTGGAGACAACCCCCCACCTTAGAAATCTAATGAGTGGGTAGAAAATGTCCTGCTGGTCTTCTGGGTAAGGGTCCAGGTGCTGACTGAGCACCCAGTAGGGCAAAAGTAAATTCCCCAGGTGGGGCTTACAGACTTTTGCAGAGTCAAACCCTCCCAGAGCTGGCCCCACCCCTTGCTGAATTTATTGTGAAGATGTAAAATTACCCCACCCTCTGGCATTCCCATAAACTCACGTTTCTCTGGAGCAGCTTTGATTTCCTGAAAAGGAAAAGGGAAGTCATCTGCCAGATGCCAGATCCACCCACTCACCTCGCCTGTGTGCCTGGCCTTTATTCATGCACAGGGGGCCCTGCTGGTGCAGGGCCCTGGCAGTTCTCTCTTCCCCCTGCTTCCCTCAGCCTTGGCTCAGGCCCCAGAAGCCCCCACATGGTACTGGGGCTACAGGTTTGGGGGTCTTAGAGTTACAGCTTTGCAGAGGGGAGAGGAATGAGAATTGAGGACTACCGTCTCTCAGCTTTGGGGGTTGGAGTAGTCTTAGAAATGGAGGGAGGGCGAGATCTACCCAAAACCTGGAGGCAGAAACTTCTGACCACAGTCAAAAGGAAAATAGAATGTGTCAGATCATCGGTTCTGATGGATTTTTCAGGTCGCACATACCAGCTCCACAGCTGAATGGTGATGTCAAGGCCCCACAGACCCCAGGTGGGGAACTTTGCTGTATGCCAGGCACTATGTGGGTACTCCACAGGCATGTCAGTTAATCTTCAAACAACCTCATAAAGCAGATTTAATTATATTTCTCTGTCAAGTGCTTTATTCAAGGCAAAACAATCAGTAGGTGGTAGAGCTAAGATTCAAATGTAGATACATCCAGCATCAAAGCCTGTGTTCTTGTGGTTACACTGGATTGTCTCATAAAAAAGACCTTGGCCCCAGGGGACTTACAATTTAGTTGTGGAAATGAGACATCAAACACCAAGGAAGAGTGCTAGAAGGATCTTTTTAGGTCTTCGGGTCTAGTTTAACAAATGTGGAATTGGAAGGCTAGGGGATTTTAGTTAAGGTCAGCCAATGGTTATTCTTCATCTACTGTATGACAGATATTAGAGAGGTACTGGGGACACAGTGATGGGAAGAAGCCACACTCTGACATATTCAAGGTCACATAATTAATTGGTGACAGAACCACCTTGAACCTAGGACACAAGACATCTATTCTTGAACTTTGTCCAAGATAGCGGTTGCTGTCCACTATTCACATACATGGTAAAATGCATATATTTATTTAGTTAGTTAAGTTCATACCAAGTGTTAATCAACAGTAAATGGTTCAGCTGGAAATTCAGGGCAATAGTGGAAGAAGTGTCACAACACAGCATGTGATTAATTATAAAGTGAATGATAAAGATATCTCTGAAAGACTGTGCATTTTTTAAAAAAAATTTATTTAAATTCAGTTTGCCAACATATAACATCTAGTGCTCATCCTTAATGCCCATCACCCAGTTACCCTATGCCCCTACCAACCTCCCCTTCTGCAGTCCTTAGTTTGTTTCCCAGAGTTTAGAGTCTCATGATTTGTCTTCCTCTCTAATTTTCCCCCACTCAGTTCCCCCCTTCCCTTTTGGTCCCCTTCACTATCTGAAAGACTATTCAAACAAGATGTCCACTCTGGCAAAGTCAATGGGACCAGTCATGCCCTTGAGTCAATGAGAGACAAAGGGCTGGTGTTGTGGGTGGGAGAAGTGTCTGAAGAGGGATGGGGACAGAGCCAGGGTAGAGGAGTAGCACATCCAGGTTCAATCATTCATAGCAGGGGGTAGGGACAGAATTAGTGAATTTACTGGGACTGGACTGAGCAGAGAGTTCCCATCAGGCCATGTGAGTGAGATATTGATGAGTAGGCCAGACTGTAGAGGTTTTTTTCTGGTGGTATGGTATTAAATGTCTAACAACTGGGGCTAAAAACAAAACAAAACACAACCCTAATTTATAGCATTTGTCAATTTTAAGCTACCAACTTGCCGCTGAATTCAGAGTTGGGAAGAGATGCACATAGTTGACTCTTGTGAGCCAGTTTGACCTAATTCCAGCCCAGAACTGGTTTTGTTTGCACCTTACATGTATATAAGGTGACTTCTCTAGGCCTCTGCCCAAATTATGACGACTTTCTTTACCTAGGACTCCTGAGAAACAGTGTTATAATCACTTGTCCTACTCCAACCATTCCTTTGAAATTTGAACCTGAGGCACAGTGTTGAAAACTTACTACTATCAGCTTCTAGGAGTGTGGTAGACCCGGTCTTCCAAAAGCCCTCCTGCTACAAAACTGGATTCTTGAGAAAAATACTCCTTTTAAAAATAATTTTGTTTATTCATGAGAGGCACAGAGAGAGAGAGAGAGAGGCAGAGACATAGGCAGAGGGAGAAGCAGATTCCCCCTGGGAAGCCCGATGTGGGACTCGATCCTAGGATCCTGGGATCATGCCCTGAGCTGAAGGCAGACACTCAATCTCTGAGCTGCCCTGGTGTTCTGAGAAAAATATTCTTTTTAATGAAATGAAATGAAATTTTTAATGGAAATTCTGGACTCATAGGAAAAAAGAGAAATCTTTAAAGGTAGTAGTAACTCCTTCAGCATCACCAGCTCCACCACCAAAGCCAGTGAAATGAACTTAGAGCTTTGGCTATGAGCAGCAAAAGAATTCAGTAGGAGGATCTCTCCCAAAGACAAGGGTATGTATCAGCATTTCAGTGAGAGACCAGTAAAACTTAGACATCCGAGGACATAAGATCATGAAATTTTCAGATGTTAACTATAAAATAAATGGAGTGTATATAGAAAAAAAGGTAGAAACACAAGAATTAGCAAGCAACTAGAGGCTGTCAAAAATGACCAGGCAAAAAAAAAAAAAAAGACCAGGCATGGGCAGCCCTGGTGGCCCAGTGGTTTAGTGCCGCCTTCAGTCCGGGGTGTAATCCTGGAGACCTGGGATCGAGTCCCATGTCGGGCTCCCTGCATGGAGCCTACTTCTCCCTCTGCCTGTATATCTCTCTCTCTTTCTCTCTGTCTGTCATGAATAAATAAATAAATAATTTTTTAAGAAATGACCAGGCAATTCTAGAAAGAACCAGATAGAATTTTGAGAGATTCAATATATACTCCTAGAAATTTAAAATTCAGTGAATGAGTTAAACAGTAGGTTTTACACACTGAAGAGAAAATTGAAGAATTAAAAGGCAGAGCTGAAAAAAAATAGAATACCACAGAAGGACAAAGACACAGGAATATGAAATAGAGGACGAGTGGAAGAGGGTAAAAATTGAAAACTTACCCTAGGTCTGTTTGGAATCCCAGAGGAAGGATTGGAGATAATAGAGAAACAACGTTTGAAGAAAACGGCTGGGAATTTTCAGAACTGTTGTAAAAATGTGCATCCCCAGGGGCATCTGGGTAGCTCAGTGCTGCACACTGAGGAATATTTATATTTTAAGAATGAGGGTAAACGATTCAGACAAAACAAGGCAAAAAAAAAAAGTCAGAGATGAACAACAAAAAAGACAAACACCAACAAACATTTATTAATAGAACTTCCAAAGATGTGCTTCTGGATTAAATGACTTTTGAGGGGAGGTCTCAATGCAAGAAGTAACAGGAGCAAAGAAATCAGTAAACATTAGGCAAGTGTAAACCTTTTCTGTTTAAAATAACGATGATGATGTTTTAATTGCAGGGTTAAAAAATGAACTAAAAATTGAAGAAAATAATGTTAGGTAGAACAAAGTGCTTGAAATGAGTGTTCTAAGGTGCCTGTATTGTTAGAGGAGAGTCAAAACATTGCTTTATATTAGAATAACCATCCTAAAGTCTCAAGGATGGCCATTACAAAAATGTAAGTGGTGGTGGGGTGGATAATAAGAACAAGAATTTTTTTAAAAAAACTATCCAAACAACAACAAAACAAAACAAGAAAGAAGAAGAAAAGCACAGAAGAAAATGGACAAACAAAAGCACACAGAGGACAGAAGTGATTGTTTATGTGTATTAAGCAGATAAGCCTAGAAAATGAGTTGTGCTTTTCAAACTCTCTGTGGTGAAAGACTTTAAAATTTTTTTTCTTCAATCTGCCCTGGACTGCTTCTTTAGGAAGATACGAGAAAAATAAATCCCTAGAAAAATTATCACAACTTGAATGTCATGGCAATGTCAAGTTGCTATAAGAGTTTGTAAAGGCAAAAAAAAAAGGGGGGGGGGTTTCTAAAGGTTTACTCCCAATTTCTCTACCTTTTATGTCTGGACCAGTGATTATTTGTCTTCAAGACCACACTTTGCATCACTGTCCTAGGGAAAGTCTTTCATGTTTGTGTGTTTGTAAGGAGACGTGTGCAAAAAAGTTCATAGCAGTGTCATTCCAGTAAGAAAAGAAGTGGAAACCATCCAAATGATAACTGAGAGGACCATAACTAAAATATGCTATATGTTTGTGCAGTGAACTATTAAATAGCAGTGAGAAGGAAAGACCATGCATGAACACTGAATGAACCCCAGAAGTACAATGTTAAGGTGGGGGAGGGAGGATCAAGTGACCACATCATACCACTGTGACATCATTTTTATGAAGCTAAAAAATAATCAAAACCAGAAAAGTGGTTCCTTGTGTCGAAGCAGATGGGATGGTGGCCACACCCTATAGATGCAGTGGTTTTGATATGGTTCTTGATGAACAAGCATAGTCTTCCCCGTTCTCTCCCTTGTCCTGTTGTGATCAAACAGGCTCAGCCCTTCTCTCTTCTTTGACTACTCACCTCTCTTTCTCCATTTCATGGTCAAGCTTTTTTATGGCATCATCTACACTCATATCTCTACTTCTCTACTTCCCACAGGCAAGGCACTCTCTGGACATTACTTACTTTCTAAGAGCTTGCCTGCTTGATCTTTGGGCAGCGTATGGTCCTCTTCTGTCCTGGGTAGAATCTTCTTTCCTAGACTCTGCACCCACTCCTGTTCACCACATCATCCACACAGCTTCTGTTGCTACCTGTACGATGACTCCAGATTTTCCAGATTTGACGGCTCTGACTCAACTCGCCCATTCCCAGGACATCTTTGCCTGGAAGCATCTCAGGCACCTCAGGCTCATCATCTGCCCCGGAATGGGGCCCCTCTTCCAGACAGACTCAGGAGTGTGCATTCCCTCTCTGCCTTCCTTTCTTCGTTACTACCTTCCAGTGCTGACTTGACTGGTTTCCACCAGAAAGTTCTCAAGTAGGCTTGTTGTGTTAGGCCCCATTTCTCCTTCTTACATCTTCCCTGCTGGACTCTCTTCTTCCTCTTCCAAGTGTTCCTCTGTACTTTCCCTTTTCCTCACTCTCAAGGCCTCTCTGTAAAAGGTTTCTACCAAAATAACAGGCAACTTCATTTCTCAAAATTCTTAGGCCCAGATTATCTCCATCTGTTGCTCTGATTTTTCCTTAGTGAGGAATCAGGAGGGGGACATTTGTCACCAAATGCTCTAAAATTCCCTATAGCCATGTCTTCTCATTTTCATTCTCTTGCTGATTCTTCAATACGGCTTCTTTCAGCTCCAGAAATTGTGAACTACGAGCCCCTGGGACTGGAGGCTGACATGTGGTAAGTTGTATAGGCCACCAAGGTGACCTAGGGAATCCTTTCAAGGGCAGAAGGCCTCAGACCCTGGCTCCAGCTGACATTCCCCTGACCATGAAAACCCCTCTTCAGAGCCTCTGGCTGCTCCAGGTGTGCTGGACCCAAGGCCCGGGCAGCTGGAGGCAGCCAGGCCTGGACTTGAGGCCAGTTAGAGCATGGCCAAGGCAGAGACAAGAGAGGCAAGGCTGCAGGTGCAGGCTCAACCCTCAGGCCTGCCACAGCCGTGATGAAGAAACAGTAACAACAGCTTGTTCAGTTAATCAACCAAGTGATCACTGAGAGCCTCTTAGGCTCTAAGTGCTGTGTGGGGCCCCAGGGATACTTTAGTGATTGATTTTCTACACAGACAGGACTCATTTCATTTGAACAATGCTTTAGAGTTGGCTGAGTACCTTGATTGCCTGGTTTTCTAAAATGCTCCCAGCAGCTTTGTTAGGTAGTTATCATTAACTTCATTTTATGTGGAGAACGGGGCTCAGAGATCATAAGGGACTGGGCCCCAGTCCTGGCCTGCAAGTGTGGGAGTCTGATCTTGAACTCGGCTCTTCTGACTGAATATCCAGAGCTCAATGACTCAGACACATCCCCGACTGCTGCTGAAGGGTGTAGGACAGAGAGGGCCGTGGACTTGAGATGGCATCTTTAGGCTGCTGTGGAAGGCCAAGTGACCACATCCCTGGAGGACCACGCGGGGAGTCCCTTGCAGGGCTGGGATCAGAGCCAGGTGGCTCTGACTGGCCTGTTCTTTGTTTTGCAGGAGCATAGGCGTCATCACCTACATCCTGTGAGTATCCCTGATGCTGGGGCGCCCCCCTAGCTTGAACGGAGGGGACCTGGGAGAAATGAGAGAGGGCCAGGCAAACGGGCAGACTGAATTTACTGATTTTACTCATTTACTCATTCACCACGAGCCAGATGTGTTCGATCCACATAGCACACCTGAGGGTCTGTTCTCTGAGCTCTGTTTCAGATGTTTGGCCTCAGGGGGGAGGTTGAGGCTTGTCCGCATCCCTGTGACCAGGCATCCACCACTCAGCTTCACCCAGGCTGCATGTCCTGAGAGAAAGTCAGCTTTCACCCAGAAGCCTGGGGACAGCCCTCAGGCCACCACAACTTCCCTGATCCACATCTTTCTGTCCCCTTGCCCCCTTCCTTCCTCAGCTCTCACAGACTCTGTTGTCTCTCCCCAGAGTCTCTTTTCCATTCTTGTAATAGTAGGTCGCTTAAGCAGACGTTTCCTGTGTAGCTCCATGTGCAGTGGATCTGTCACTTTCCATCTCTGTGGCCTTGGGCAGATACTTAACCTCTGGGCCTGTTTTCCTCATCAGGAAAATAAGAATCACTAACTTCCTGCCGCGGGTATGTTTTGTGGGTCACATAAGCTACCGTATAGACTTCCCAGCACTGCTCTGGTGCATAATAGGTGGCTGATTAGTGCATGTTAATTCCAACAGTGCTTCCCAACTGTTGTCTCCTCTCTGCACACCTGCTGCGTGCTATTTCTAGGGTACACTGGGTAAGAATCAGAGCCAGAGGCGACATGGAGGCTCTGGTGTGTCATACCCAGTCTCTGACTCTTCCAATAGCCCATCGACCTGAGCTCTGTACGGTGTGGTGGACCCCCCTGAGCTGCAGCAGAGGGTCTCCATCCTGGCTGCGCATTAGACCTTTTAATACCTACCACTGCCCAGGCCCACTGCAGATATATTACATCGGAATTGCTAGGGATGGAATCTGGGCATCAGTATTTTTTAATCAGTTTTTTAAAAAAGATTTATGTATTTATTTTTATAAAGAGAGCAGGAGTGGAGGGAGGAGCAGAGAGAGAAGGGAGAGAGAGTCCTCAAGCAGACTCTGTGCTGAGCACGGAGTCCAATGTAGGCCTTGATCCCAGGACCCTGATCATGACCTGAGCCGAAATCAAGAGTCAGACATTTAACTAACTGAGCCATCCAGGTACACCTGGGCATCAGCATTTTTAAAAGCCCCAGAGGAATTGGATGCACAGAAAGAATTTGATGCATTGCTTGATGGTTCCAAATTCTGTGTTGGCTCTTGAAACCTTAATTTTTTTTTCAGAACTCTAATTTCCATACTGAAATATTGAGGGATTTCAGTGTGTACAAGGCACATAGTCTTCTTGAAGCTCATTTGAGTGCCACACAGTTTACTAAGTGCCTGCTCCATGGTGGGCACTGGGCCAGGCACTCAGGATGCTGACATGAAGGATGTCTGCCCTGCTTGCCTGGAGTTCCCTGTGTCGGGGGGAAACCCCACACAGCTAAGTCTCACACAGTGGGACCAAGGTTATGCTGGATATATGAACACACCTTCCTGGGAGAGGCACTGGTTTGCTGGGCTGAGGAAGATTTGACAAGAGAGAGATTGATGTTAATCTGAATTGGGCTGTACAGAATGAGATTAATTCTCCAGGTGAAAAGGGAGGGAAGGACTGTCTGATGAGGAGGGAAACGGTGAGCCAATTAAGTGTGGTGAAATGTGCTGAGGAAGTGGTAGGGACTAACTTCTGATGTCTTGCTCAGGAGTTTAGAGGTGACCCTATAAAAAATGGAAGTCATAGAAGGTTCTTTGTGTTCAAAGACAAAAATAATGGCCACTCATTCCAGAGCTCTTAGCCTGGGCAAGATTTCATAGAGCATTGAAAATGTATTTATTCTTTATGACAATCTTGTGAGGTGGAGACTTTTATTTTCTTCATTTTATAGAGAAGGAAACAACAGCTCAGAGCTTGAGTAACTTACGTAGGTTTGCACAGCTACTGAGTAGCAGAGCTGGTATTCAAATCCAAGACTAAACTATCAAAAATTTCCCAGTGTGCCATACTGCTACTATGCTAAGAAAGTGGCAGTGGGGTTGGGAATGAACGTCAAGAGATATTTAGTAAATAAAACCAACAAGAGTTTTGGGCCAGTTAGATGTGATGAGGGAATGGATGGATGAGTCAGAGGCAGCCCCTTTGTTCTAGCTTGGGTGCATTTTTGAAGTGACATCATTAATCAAGGCAAGGAGCTTATAGAGGGAGGTTAGGGCACAGTGACAATGGCGCATATAGGGACACATGTCCCATCAGCTGGAATATGAGTCAGAAAACAGTAGATTTGGGAGTCATTATTTGAATACATATTCTTGACAAACCCTGCAGGGGAACCGCACATCCCCTTCCAGGCCCTAATGGCCTATCTATTTCCATACCTCTCAGGCTTTGCTCAAGCTGCTCCCTTAATCTAGAAGACCTTTCAGGGATCCCTGGGTGGCTCAGCAGTTGAGCATCTGCCTTTGGCCCAGGGTGTGATCCTAGGGTCCTGAGATCGAGTCCCACGTCGGGCTCCCTGCATGGAGCCTCCTTCTCCCTCTGCCTGTGTCTCTGCCTCTCTCTCTCTCTCTCTCTCTCTTTCTCTCTCTCTCTCTCTCTCTCTCTGTCTCTCATGAATAAATAAATAAAATCTTTTAAAAAAATAGAAGACCTTTCATCTCCTCTGACTGCTGACAACTTTTTCATTCTTCAAGACGCAACTGATACAAATGTCAGCTCTCCCATGGAGAGCACTGGGTCTCCCCACCGTCATGTGTTCCCCCAGTCCTTTGTCTGGTCATCCATTATATTCTGCTTAGGATTATGAAGAGCCATGTCTCTGTGTTTCCTCCTGTCCTCTGTCAAGTCCCTTGAAGACAGTTTCTCCCTATCAGGTACTTAGTAGGAGTTCCACAAAGTAGATTGAATTGGACTCAGTTAGTTGAAAAGGCTGCTGACTGGCTGCCCAGAGGGGGCAGATGGTGTTGCTGGGAGCCTCCCATCCCCCATGCAATAGTATGAATCAGGGTTCCCTGACTCCATCACCCCCAACTCCATCTACTTTCCTATAGTCACATGTTCCCTCTCTGTGTGCTCAGCCTAAGTGGAGCATCCCCTTTCCTGGGAGACACGAAGCAGGAAACACTAGCAAATATCACAGCAGTGAGTTACGACTTTGATGAAGAATTCTTCAGCCAGACCAGTGAGCTGGCCAAGGACTTCATTCGGAAGCTTCTGGTTAAAGAGACTCGGTAAGATGACAGAGGAAGGCATGGGCCTCTGAGGTACTAACCTTCTCCTGTTCCCTCTACCAACAAACGTATCAGTCTGTCCCTACTTTGCCATGCACTGCCATCTGCCCCATTGTGGTCTAATCAGGGCAGGTGCTGAGATGTGTGGATTAGCTGAGACTTGGCATTTGTCTTGTTTGCTCAAGTCTTTCTGCTTTCTTTCCTGCCAACATATAAATAACTGTGTGTATGTGTGTGTGTGCACTTGTGCGCATGCTTGGAAGTCAGCCTGGGTTTCTCTAGGGCACATTATCTTTTCCAGCCTGTCCCAAAGGCACCTAGAACTAGGATTTGAAGAGGAAAGTGGCAGAGTTTATCAAACCAATTCAGGTGGGGGGGTTGGGGAGAGGTGGACTCAGAGGTGTCAAGCAAGTGGAAGAATAGGATACATGCTAATCCTACCCCTTCCTCAGGCCCATGGTGAGCCCCATAGCTATAAAGTCAAAGCAGGAGATTTTAAGCAGGGAATTATAAGGTGCTGGGTGCCCAGAGCATGGACTAGATGGAACAGGAATGAGATCTGCAGATTCTAGAAGGTCATGTCCTCTTGGTCCCACAGACTTCAGAGAAAGCCAAAGTAGGGTCCTCTAAAGTATAGGGACCTGGCTTCCCCATCTAAGGGCAGTGCTAAGTCAGATCTGTACTGGAGCAGGGACAGGCAGAGAAGCGATCTGGGAAGCAAAAGAAAAACACAGATCAAAGGTTTAGTTGTGGAGAGCTAAAACTCACAAGAGCACTTAGGACTCTCGTAGAGTATAGCACAAGACCCTTCAAGGTTGGTACCAAAGATGAGGGTTTATGTGATGTCACTCTGCCTGGACCACTTTCCCTGGAGTGCAGGCAGTTCAGTCAGTTCCCATCCATCTCTGCATCCCCCATTGTTCTGGTTTGATGGCAGTGGTCAAAGAATGCCAAAATGCAGGTCTGACAAGAGTAGGAATGGGGACTGTTGTTCTCAGCTTCTGTCCTCATGGATCATCACTGTTTTCTGATCCTTGTTGCAGGAAACGACTCACAATCCAAGAGGCTCTCAGACACCCCTGGATCACGGTAAGGGCATGGTGTTGAGTGCCAGTGAGTAAGCAGATCCCTGATCTGTCGCCAGGGCTGAGTGCAGCGGGCAGATGCAGAGGGCCCATGGAGAGGTCTTTGCTAGAAATACCTACTCTTGGGCACAGATGAAAGCCAGGCAGGGATGCCAAGTGCCAAGTGGTCTGGGTTTGTTCAAAGACATTTATAGGTTTAAGATTCTATTTCATGGGTTCAGGTGAATTATGAAATGAAACCCTCACAAACCTCCATTGAAGTCCTTTATCTTTGGGGCCATCTTACAAAGTATACTTTGTCAGAGGACATGTCACTCTCATTCTCAAAGCAGAAATCAACTCCTGAGTTGTAGAGAGAAAGCAATGACAATTAAAAACCTCAACTCTGTAACCAAGGCTCCTTCTTTCTGACTTTTGGGGCTCTGAGAAAGAATGACACTCTGTCCAGTCAGCTAGCTTCCTCAGGCACCTTGAGACCTCAGGGAACAGGGTTTGGAGATGGAAGCCTCTTTCCTCAGGGCAATGCTGTTCCCTCTGGGGAGGTAGAAGCACAAAGCTGAACTCTCTGCCTAACTTGCTTTGTAATTGGGCTTCCAGCTGCTGCTTTGGGAAGGGTCTTGCTGTCTAGTCACAACTTAGAAGCACTTTGGCTAGGGATGTCTTACTGACTCTTTGGGGCTGGGAGTTCAAGCTTTCAAGCCCCACATAGGGCACAGGCATTACTTGAAGAAAACAAAACAGAACAAAACACTTTGGTGGGATAGAAACCAGGAGATGGGGATTCTGGCCCTACTTCTGCTGACTAATGAGATGTGCACTCCCCAGGCATCACCAGATTTCCCATGCACCTGGATCATTAAAGGAGAGGGCTGGCTAGGGTGATCTGAGTATGCAGATGAGCAAGGGTAGGGCTTATGAAGGATGGAGAGCAAGGAGGGCTGGAATGCTTTGGAAAAGGTCAGGTTCATCTGCTCGTTAAAGGATGGGGAAGGCCAAGGGCCCCCTAGGTTTGGAGCAGGCCCAGATCACAGAGCTAGGGAGGCTCTTGGGCTTACTGTGCTGAGTTGCCGAGACCCAGGATGCCAACTAGCCCTAAAGGAGAGAAGCCCCTCAGCCTCCTTCTGTCAGCCATGGCCTTGCCTGCTCCTGCCTTTGAGTGGATGCCTGCAGAGTCCTGGCTATGGCCTGCTTGCCTGTGTGAGCCCCCTAAATGCTATGCATGTGGAGACCTCTAATGGCCATGGACCCTGCCCCCCTACCCTGAAGTGAGCATGCAGGCAACACCCCTGTACTCTTTGATCTTTTTCATCATCTGTGGAAATGTTCATCCCATCGTGGTCCTCCCCATGGCCTGATGCATGCAGTGAATGCCTAAGAGGCTGCTTATGTGCCTTCTGACTGCACTTCAAACTGCCCTTTGGATCAGAACTCAGCTTAATCCTGGCTGTTCTATCTAAATACCCACCAGTCCAAAGGAGAAGTCAGAGCCCCAGAACAGCAGAAGACAGAGCCTGCCCAGCTGAAGACCAAGCGCCTGAGAGAATACACCCTCAAATGCCACTCAAGCATGCCCCCCAATAACACCTACGTCAACTTTGAACGTTTTGCCCGTGTAGTAGAGGATATGGCTCGGGTAGACCAGGGATGCCGTGCCCTGGCAGGGACCCATGACACCATCCAGGATGACGTGGAGACCCTGATCTCCATATACAATGAGAAAGAAGCGTGGTACCGAGAAGAGAATGAGAGCGCCCGGCATGACTTATCTCAGCTCAAGTACGAGTTCCGCAAAGTGGAGTCCTTGAAGAAGGTCCTGCGAGAAGATATCCAGGCCACAGGGTCCAGCCTCGGAAGCATGGGCAGGAAATTGGAGCATCTGCAGGCACAGTTTGAAGCTTTAAGGCAGGAGCTCTCAGCAGACCTACAGTGGATCCAGGAACTGGTGGGCAGCTTCCAGCAGGAGAGTAGGAACACAGATGGCCTAGGCTCTGTGTTCCACAGGGATGCCAGGGAGTCCCTGGTGGAGCTGCTCGACACATCATCCAGCAAGGAAGTCTTGGCCGGCTTGAAGCTCTGAGTACCAGAATCCAGTCAGTACTGCATCCTCGATGATTTGCAGAAGCATGATTCCAAGTGCCCTGCCTGGGCATCAGTTAGAATTATCCTGCAGGGTCTATATCTGTAGCAGAATCCAGAATCAGGAAGGTGCTAGCTACTTATTCATTCTGCACCTCCTCTCACCAACCTGGTTTTCTGGGAGGGTGACTGGCAGGGTAGCCAGGCTGTTAAAACAATTGCAAATGAATACCCTTCCTCGTACCCTTCTCCAGAGGGAGGATGGCTGGCCCGGGGGAGATGCTCAATAATTGATTCGTGATAATGGGTTTGTTCACAACTCACTTCCCACCTCTATGCCTTATGGGATGCAGATCTTGGGTAATCTTTGAGTTAACTAGGGATGACAATAAGCCAGTGTGGTGCTTTCCTGCTACAGAAGAAGGATTTAAAAATGCATGAAGAAAATATTATCTTTCATTTGCACTCATGTCTTCCGTCTTTAAAAGAACTCTGTGAGCTGGAAGGTGGGTGGTATTATTATTGTTACTATTATTTCCATGTAACTGTTGAGGAAATTGACGCAGAGCTGAAAAATGACTTACTCAAGTCTTTGGTAGCTGGCTGAAACAGAAAGGCAAGAAGCCCGAGCCTCAGATGAGGTCTATGGGAAGAAATATTGAGACTTTGCTCTAAATATCCACCTTCACATTAAAGTTCAGCTCCAGAGGTAAAGTTAGCAACTTCACGTAGTTCTGTGTTCTGCCAAGTATTGGTAGAATGCCTCATACCTTTAGACGATTGTCCTGGGAAGTGGGTCCTGAGGGGGTGCCATTCACTGTTCTCTCCAGCCCTGTCTCCATGTGAAGATCAGCCTACAGGCAGGAGGCAAGGAGCAGCATCTCCCCCTTCCCCCCTTTCTGGCTAAAGGCCCCAACCTTGTGTTAGAAATGAAGACCAAAAGGAACTCGATAAGAAGGTCCCTTTTCTTATGAACCTAGGGCATTGGGCCCTGAAAGTTGAGAAACTACATGAGAGCTTAAACTTGGGAAGCACAGGCTCAGTGGTCCCCTCTTGACACCTCCCTAAGGACTGCATGAGGTCATGTCTCTGGAGGGGCCAGTCAGCCAGCTCATATGGGCAAAGCGTGGTGGAGTGTGGGCCTGGCACTGTGCTAGAAGCTTGGAGGTGGGGGACCAGATTGTATCATTTCAAAGTGACTTCACAGACTCACAAAACACCCTTGTCAGATAGGCAGGGTGTGTGTTATTCCCAATTTGGAGATGAGGAAATGGAGAGGATGTGATTTGCCCAAAGCCACAGTAGTGGGAAAAGTGGAAGTCTTCTGATGATATGTCTGTTGCTCTTTCTGCTTCCCCTAACTGCCCCTCGGCTCTCTGCTTAGAGGGCAGTGATACTCAGAGTCAGCCATCCATCTATTGACAAATAATTTTTGAGCACCTGCCAACTGCCAGGCGCTCAGGTTGACACTGGGGATACAATGTTGAGTGAAAACAGGCACATTTCCTGCCTTCATGGAGTTCATAGTCAGGTAAAGAATTCCAACATTAGTCAAGAACATTCTATAAGTATAGAACTGCAGGTGGATCACATGCTAAGAAAGAGAACTGTGTAGTACTGCACTAGCAGCCATGCGCATTTGATCTAATCAGGGAAGGCTTCCCTGAGGTGGTGATGCTGGAGGTGAGGCCAGCTGAGCAAACCAGGGAGAAAGAAGTGTTCCTGACAGAGTTGTCATGCCAGGGCTCTGTGGTAGATGGGGCATGGAAGCTGAAACTACATGGACAGAAAGAATGCTAGAAGGGAGAGGATAAGATGTGTGTATGGTGTAGATGTGGCTGGAGAGGAAGCATGCCTAGTGGTACTTTGCCATATTAAAGAGTTTTTATCCCAAGAGTCATGGGGAACCATGATGGGTGCCAAACTGGTTAACGGCCTGAGATCCTGGGTGGCATGGGGTGGGGGGATGGCCAGGGAGCAGCACAGATGGCAAATGGTTTAAGACAAGACATGAGATTTTGCCCCCATGCAACCATTTCTTCAGACTCCTGTCTGCCTCTTTTTCCATGATCATGCTAGATCATTCCAAATATTATATATAATATTTGTGACAGAAACTTTTTCCATCAGATGTAAGAAACCATATTTTCATCAAAAATAAGATGCATTGTTATTTTATATACCAAAAATAAGAAAGAAAAAAGCCAAGTGCCATAGGAGACTGCCTCCCCTCCCCCCAAAGCTGGGACACTCTCACTGAGATGGCAAATGAGAAATCAAGCCATCATACAAAAGGAGAAAGCAAGGAAACATGAGTGTTTCATCCTTAATGCTAGATGGAGGGCTGAAAACTCATGCAGGGTTGATTTCTGAATTTGCACAATCAGTGGGATCCAAAAGAACCTCAGGCAGAGAATCTAACATCACACAGTCTGAGGTTGAGTGCCTCCCAATGTCTAATAGAAGCAGTGTGGCCATCTCCTGGAACACCCACCTTCTTTTCAGACTGACAATAATGATATGATGCCATTAATTAGGTAAGTCCTGATTTCAGAGATCCAAAAATGTACATTTGGAGTCAGTGGAAGATAGCAAATCCCTGTCTCCTGTGCCCTGCCTGGGAGACTGGGTACAAGTGACCTGAGTACAGTCTCTCCAAGAACTTACTTGTCCTGTCATGAGATGTGATGTACTCATCGGCTTAATGGCTTAAGACACTGCAAGTATCAAAGGTCCCTCTCACCATGTCAGTAGATCTTTACCTCATTTAGCCAGATTTCCTAAGGAAAGGAAGCCCCCAGTTCAGTGACTCCGGTTAGACTTTCTTGTGAGGGTTGAAATAAAATGCATTAAAGGAGTAAGGCGTTGATGATGATTTGAATTAAGGAGACTGGGAACAGGGAGGGAAAAGCAGTTAGTTTAAAATTG